CCCATCCTAGCACTGAAGATGTTACCTAGCCAGGTAATGAAACGTTTGCAAGAAAAGAACCAAGCTCAGAGAACCCCAAGGACTCCACACTTATGACATTACTTGGATAATTCCTATGTTCATGGCTGGAATATGAATTTCCAAAAAACACCAGTCAAATACTGTATATTCTTTTTATTTATACTGTGTTATTCCTCGATTAATAAAAGCAAGCAATAGATAATTACATGCCTTCACCAAGGTGCAATAGAGATAAAAGAAAAACACCATACTTAACAAAATTCCATCCAATAAAATTAGTCCACAACTTAACAATCAACCAGTAACATGCATTTAGAAGCAAAAGTAGTAACCATACACATTTAATAGAAAGTCCTACAATACCGCCAAACACACAGATATCCATAATTATTAAAGCACAAATACTAACCTGGAAACCACCAATCTTAATGAGAGTACGACAGAATACCAAATTCCACCCTACCCCACTACTCTAATAAAAAGATCTCTTAATCCCTTGAAAAGACCTCAGACTTTCACAGAGGCTAAAAGGAGGGAATTGATCCAAAGCTGCATGACCGGGTCTCTGAAACCCCAGAGGCAGGAGATGGTGAGCAAAAAGACGACCCTGCCCAGAAGAACGTAAGCAATCATCAGGATTGCAGAGGCAAATAAGGGTCCTTTGGGGTGGGAGGAATGACAGAAGCCTCTGAACACAAGCACCAGCCCTGGTGTGAAGAGGGAGCCAGGGAATAGGGTGGCAGGCCCAGGACGCCTCAAATGGCACTGCTTCAGAGTAGGACAAAGAAGAACTGTGAATGCCAGCCAGACTTTTGCAATACTCTGAAGGTGAAACAACCAAACCACGTACCAATAAAGCTGCAGCCTCTCTGAAAATCCACTGGATCATACAGATGCTCCTCCAGTGAAAATTTACAAGCCTTGCTGTGAGATCAATAAATGGGTGCAATGTCAGTTGATCATCAGTTATTGTAGGCAGAGGAAATTGGGACAATCCAGGAGCTCTGGAGACCCAGAGGTGGGGGGAACACAACACAACTTGGGAAGGCGGTGAAACATAAACTTTGTCTTAGCCATATTCAGCATGTTCATGCTGGCTTGTGAAATAGTGTCACATGTTTTTTGAGTCATAATAGTTATAGCTGTTCCCATGTCAATCATACCACATGACACTGTGGCCTTCTGGCATGGCTAAATACTGCATAGAAGACATTATGAAAGCATAAGTGTTATCATCAACACTCACAATCCTTCTGGGGCTGCTTGGGCTTGATGATTTGGGATGTTCATATGGTCTAAACTTAGAGGAATGGCTGAAAATGACTCTGCTAACAGGAAGTAACCCTGGCATTCACGTGAGGAAAAGATGGAGTGTAAGTTGCTGAGGAACTTGCACAGTGGTCCTTTGGTTTCTCACCTGAGCTTACATATCTGCCACATCTGTTCTTGCAACGTCATGGATTATAGTTAAAGCACATTCCTCAAAATGCACCTTCTTAATTTGGGAAATAGGCAACCTTGAAGGATCTTCCTCCTTACTTCCTGTTCTGTGTTAGAAAACTTGCACAAGGAAGCCAGATGGTACCGGACCACCAGAAATAAAATGCATTCATGTTCTCCTTACTCTGCCGAGAAAACATGTGTTGCTCAAACTCCGTGTCCTGAAATCCCTGGAAATATCGGTCAGAGGTGTTATTGCTTGGTTGTCATCAAAGCGGTCTTCTGGGTTGGGCAAAGTTGATGCCATAATGCCCCTTCTCTTCTGCAAAATGAAGACACATCGTCTGTTTCTTTGTAGATTTGTCTTCTCCCATCATATCTTCCAGCTTTTCCAGCCATCGTTCCCAACATGCTCCAGCAGTAGAAAACAAGTTTTGAATTGCAAATTCAGGAAAAGTAGACATTTGATTCATAACACCTGTAACCTGTAGTCAGAACAGGGCCTTAAAGCTGGGGGGGGGGGCTTCAGACCTTTCTCCTCGGGAAGATGATATAGACAGACAAGGCAGACAGACAGACACACACTTGAAAATACAGTTTAGCCCCTACAAAAAACTCAGTCCTCCATCCTCCTTGTTGCCAGTGTTGTTTTGGCTTCAGCAACAATCAGAGGATTAGTCATTGAATGGATTAAACCAAATTATGATTACTAAATCACTCAGAGAATTCAGTCTGCAGGCAAGCAAGATGCACCCATCACATGATTGCTTTGAACTCCAGCTCCTTCCTCAGCTTCCCATTCAGAGTCCAAAGATAACTGCTCTGGATTTGCAAGCAGCAAGGAATAAACTAAACCCTGGCCTGGACCCATGTAAGCATTACAAATGGCTGTTCTTAAGGTCCAGAAAATGAAAGACTGCGTTGAGTGCATAAGCAAGGCTCATTTTTAAAACTGCAGAAGGATGGGGCCAGAGAGGAATTAAACTAAGTCTCCTACTCATTACACAAAAATACAGCTTTTTGTTTTTAAAGTCTGGGAATTCCAATGACTAGAAAAAACAAAAGTTTCCAAACATGCACTGATTCAAGACTTTTGGACATATGCAGCTGTGGTAACAAAACTCAAGCCATCTTCCAGCTGTTGGCGCCAGCTAGAAGGGAGAAGACCTCCCCGCTCTCTTCCCTCGACATCCAGTCTCTTGGTAGTCCAGAATTGGATTTTGCCAACGCAGGTTTAATTTAATGTAGGGGAAGGAGCCACGGTCATCCCACGGAGCCTACTCTGGAGATTACAAGAAACACATATTGGTGCTATTTCAGCCCATTTGCTAATCCGCAACCCGGTGCGTGTCTCTACAGTAATCCATCGCTGGTCATATCTGCCTTTTTTTCCTGGTTGCTCCAACGCTATCATGCGCCTGATGTGCGTACAGCAGCAACTCCCAGCCTTGCAAGAAAAGAGGAGGAATTCAAGCGCAGTAGGAAAAGCGCACACGACCGAGAGCAGCCGAGGCCGGCTGAGTCACTAAGAGCGGCAGAAGAGGAAAAACAGGTTGCCCCGAGTAGGAAGGGGGCGGGCGGAGGCGGAGGGAGTTTAAAGGCCCGCCACGCTGCCCTTGTTGGCGCTCAAGACTGGGGAGCGCTTCGCCATGGGTGGCTGGCTTCTCCTGCTCGTGGCGGGCAGCCTCTGGGCGAGCCTCGGGGAAGGTGGCAGCCCGACGTGCGGTTATCCGCCGCAGTTGTGGTGCAGTTCCAGCGAGATCGCCCGAGCCTGCCAGGTAAGCGAGAGGGCGGCTGGCCGCGCGTCAGCAACCCGCCGCGCAAGGCGTGGAGCGGCGCCAGACTGGGTGCTTTGCGAGCTCGTGCTGCAGGCGGCCGCGGCGAAGCCTGCTTGGCCGAGCGTTGCTTCTTCTCTCCCGGCCTCCCCTGAACGGCCTCCGAAGCGATGGAGCTGGGTCCGGAGAGCGGGACTCTGCCCCGGACCGAGTTTGTGTGTGGCGCTGGGCTGCGGGGCCCGCTTCCTTTCTGCACTTTGGGTGCCTGGTTCAGCCCAGGCGAAAGCTCTCTGTGCCATGAGGGTTAGGGCAGGGTTTCTCCACCGCAGCAACTTTAAGATGTGTGGCCTGCAACTATTGTTAATTAGTTAACTTGTGGGCTTAATTAATTCTGGGAGTTGCAGTCTACATGTCTTAAAGTTGCCAAGGTTGAGAAACCCTGAGTTAGGGCTTTGTTTTTCAGCCGGTTCACCCTGGTTTGGGGGATGAGAGGAAGCGCTTGGCCCAAGGTCGCCCAACTGGTATTTGGGTGCCTAAGGGAGGACTAGAACCCAGGTCTCCCCTCCTAGGCCAGCACCTTAACCGCTTCACCGCGCTGGCTCTCTGCATGGTCAGATAATACAAGTCAATTCAAACGCCATTCTAAAAGTCAGTTTGAAGAAAGGAAGAAGCCAAGCAGGTCCAAGGATGGAGAAGGCAGAGCGGGTTCCCCACGGAAAAGGTGGGACTGGGAGGAAAGTAACAGGGAGACCCTGTTGGTTGGTCTGTTTGCATGGTGTGGGTGTTGATCTTTTTATCTTGTGAAATGTCATACATACGTACATAGTAAGTAAGTAAATTAATAAATAAGCAAATAAATAAATGCCACAAGTCAAAGCAAAAGACACCTTTGGACTCAGTGTTTCCAGAGAACTCCTCAAATTGCCCATGAAGAATCACCGGACAGTTATAAACTGACTTGCTTATTAAAAGAAAACTCAAATAATTATTACCTTAAAGAATGGAAA